AGCTTATTTATGCTTGGAGCACCTCAAATTGTTTCAAGAAATTTCAGGAAATTATTCTAAGTATGGGCTATCTAAAAAATCAAGAAGAACAGATATTGCTCAAGACTGAAAGATCAAATCGATCAACGAATTTCCTGAAATAAATTATGGAGTATTTATCCGAATTCAGCCATGCAGAAGGAATTAATCTTGATTACATCAAAAGCATGCTGACATTCGATAAGGTGTTACATTAATGAGCATGAGAGAGGATTATCTTCAATCAAATCAGAAATATGAAGGAGAAGGGAATTTATGATAACATGCAACATGCTATCACGATAAATGGCGATCAAGCAGCTGAGTCAACTATTCGAATAAAAGCAACCTCATCAAATTAGTGAGTTTCCCAACTCACTCACTTATCTAAGTTTCTTTTTGCACTGAAAAGAGAGCCTGGCGCCAACCATTAATCAAGTTGCAAAGTGTTCAATTACTACCCAACGGTAATTAAGAACAAGTTATCATCAAGAGGTATAAATATCATTTTTACCTCACCCCATTCTTCATTTAAGTTCAATCACTCAAAACTAGCTCAAAACCTTCTTCAAATCTTAAAACAAAAGGCTTTTCATCATCCTCATCAAATGACGAACCCCTCAGATTCTTCATCTCACAATATCTCTCTAGAACTAAGCCTAGCTCCTCCACATCTATCAACTCAACGAAGATCAGTTCTATCCCATAATCAAGAAGAATGTCATTCTGCTCTTGAATTAAGAATCATCTTCGAAAAGGAGAAAGAAATTCTGCAACATGAGACACTCAGAGTTATGACTTGGAGGACATGGAGATTTTCTCCAATCAATTTTCTTCTTCTTAACGCACCTAGAATGACTCAAGAAGAAGAATTTGCGTTTAAATGGCTGAAGACAGGAAACATTGAGATTTCATTGTCATTAAGCTATATCAATAGGGTCTACCAAGTCAAACTTGATAATCTCAAACAAGCAGATGCAAAACGGAGAAGAAGAGCGGGCAGAAACTTCCTCCCTGGAGAATCATCAGGCAGAACACACCAAACATAGGTGTTTGTTGCTGCCAAAAAGGGGGGAAATAGAATCAAACACTTAGGACAATTTTTCCCATCATTTAGTGTTTGTATTCTAGTTTTTGGCATCATCAAAAAGGGAGAAATTGTTAGGTCCCCTAGATTTTGATGATCATATATTGTTTTGATGATGTCATCCCTTTATATATAATCCCAGTGATAGACTAGAACTTGTATTTGTTCTACTACTGTTTATTTGTAATGTGCTCCATAGTGGTAAAGTACTCAAGAAAAACAGAGAGTACTAAAAAGAGAAGAAACGTACCATAAAACAAAAAGAAAAGAAACAAAAAGAAAAGGTACGAAAAGATTCAACTGAAACCCTTAGAGAATCAGATACTTAAGTAAGAAGACCATCTTATGTCCTTCTGTTATGGTGATATCAGAAGACCTCAGCAACAAAGGTGGTTCTCTGATTTCTGTCATGGTCGTATCAGAGAACCTCAGACACATAGGTGGTTCTCTTATTGACACCAGACCAGAAGACCTTCTGTCATGGTCGTATCAGAGAACCTCAACAACAGAGGTGGTTCTCTAAATAACATCATACCAGAAGACATCATAGGTATTCTGATTAAGTACTCGACATCTGTTATTCTTTTATTAGCACAGCAACAAGAAGACAGAAGACCCACTTGCAGTCAAAATGACAAAAGAAATAGAAAATAATATTATAAGAAATTACGTGACAAAAATTCTTATAAATTATTTTACTAAAAGCAAGTAATTCTATCATGAGGAAGCATAGAACAACACTCGACCTAGATACTGAATTTCTACGAGCTAAAGAAATAAAGATAAATCATCTTTATCTTTGCCTAGAAATGAGGAATCCAGTTGAGTGAAGATAAATGATCTGTGTCACAAGAAGACAAGAATCAACCATGCTACCCCAGTCAAGTGGAACAAAGCAAGTAGATCAAGCAACGATCAAGATTGGATCACTCAGCCCACAGAGGAGATTCAACAACAAAGTCTATAAATACAGAAGGAGTGCGGGAAGACCAAGTGTGGCACCGAATGGAAACAAACCCTGGTATATTGGAACCTAGTGGAACTGAAGGGAATCAAGGTTCACACGAACACATCCAGCTAGCTGATTCACCTTCACCACTCTGGTTACCACCCCACTCATCTAATGCTCTTAAAATAGCTTATAATTCATACACATCTATAGAGCTTAGATTAGTTGGTAGACTAGTTTAAACCCATGTAAATTAGTCTAGTGTATACATTCTGGTATGTGTGTGATCATCCAGAAGGTGAGGCAAGGACATGAGTAGCTTCTGGCTGGGCAATGCCATTAGTGAAAAACCTTGGAGGACATGAGTAGCTTGGAACAGTCTGGTTCCTAGTGAAAAACCTCACAATCTTCGCCTCGGCCAAAGGTAGATTGGGCACTAAATATAATGGGATATTCATGTAGTGGGAATTCATCTGAAATAGGTTAAGACTGGATGTGGGAGGATTACACCACCTCTGAACCATGATATATCTTGTATACCTTTTATATTCAGCACCCAACACATACTTCAGTTCTCACTCACCTTCATACTATCCCAAAAGCTTGCATATTCTGTCCAGAAAACTCTCTTAAGTTTTCTGTGAATTAAAACTCCTTACCCACGAACTTCAAAGAGATCTATGTCAATAGGTCTAAATCCTTCACACAAATATGTTCTGTCCAACCATCTTTGTTACAACTAAAAGGGTCATAACTTTTGTTTCTATAAAGTGTCATACTCTTGAGGTCAAGACTTCCGCTGTATGTTTCAATATCTCTCAAAATATATTGGAACACATTCTGTTTGAGGAAAAAGGTTTGCAAAAGAAAAGATTTTTATATGTCTATTCCCCCCCCCCCCCCCCCTCTCTAGACTTCTACTTCACATGTGATCACCAACTTTAAATCCTCAATTTCAAAAATATAGTCACAAAACGATTAAAAAAGAAGTTGTAAGGCAATATGTTTTGGAAAAGGAAAAATTACAAATATTTTTCGCAAACTTTGATGGACGTGTTAGTATTTGTGGTGATATATGGGAGGATACCCATCATTTATATTATTTGGGTTTGACTGCACATTATATTGATGATGATTGGGAAATGCATAAACGTGTTCTTGCTTTTCGTGAATTTAATGATCGACACACCGCTGATAATATTTATATTCTGCTTGAGCGTATTTAATTAAGGTGTTTGCTATGGGTTTTGATAATGCTAGTAATAATATTGTTGCTATACCTAGATTGTGTGAATTATGTGGTTCTTCTACTTTGATGGGTAGGTTTTTTCATCAGCGTTGTGCATGTCATATTTTAAATTTATGTGTAAAAGACGGGCTAGTCACGTTGGGAGATGCTATGGAGGTAGTGAAGGGGGTTTAGACTTATTTGGGCTAGTAATCCATTAAAAATAATACGGCGTCAATATTTGAGGGATAGACGTGTCAAATATTGTGATTTTCCTAAAGATTTATCTATTCGTTGGAATAATACTTATAATTTAATTGTTGTACTTAGGAGGGGGTGTTTGGATCTGATTCTTTAAACTTCTTCTGCTCCTTCAGGGAGCAGAAGCAGAAGTTGGAGTGTTTGGTGAAAGTGTAGAAGTGATTCTGGTGCTCTAATTTACTCCTAGAATCGGTTTTTTTAGAAGCTGGGGGTGACCAGCTTCTAAAAACTTATTCTGATTCTGCTTCTGTTTAAAAAAGAAGCAGAAGTAGAATCGGTTCTGAACACCCCCTTATTAGATTTAAAGACCATTTTCCTGCTTTTTTAAAAGAATATGCTAACTATATTATAAACCCGGTCGACATCGACACTATGGAAAAAATTGTGAATGTTTTGGTGTTTCTTAATAATGCAACTGAAACTTTTAGTCATGTTTATACACCTACCGCAAACCAATTTTTTGTTGAAACTGTTAATCTCGTCGGTGCTTTTTGTAACTTTTCCGATGCCCCTTACGTTAGTTATTTTGGTTCTTACATGAAAGAAAAGTTTTTAAAATATTATTCACATATTTCGCATATACTCCATTACTCCCTCTGTCCCGGTCATTTCTTCCAACTTTCCTTTTTGGGTCGTCCCAATTAATTCTTCCAACTTCCACTTTTGGAAAAAATATGTGATTCACATTGATTCACCTTTTTCTTACAAAACTACAACCATATATTTCCACTTTATTCCACTTTCTAAATTTTGAGCCAAGTTTGACTTGAAAGAAATCGCCGAGACAGAGGGAGTATATAGTATTGCATTTATTCTTGATCATCATCGTAGAATTGATGCTTTGGGGCAATGTTTAGATTACTATTATGTTTCTTTTTTTGTAAACCGGCCACTTTATAGAGGAAACAACCGAAGATGGCGAAGATTCCAATTGATTATTATTTATTAGAAAATGTATTTCACGTTTTAATTTTTTCTCAATTCTCAATTGTACTACATATTTCAAATAAATATACTTTAACTTTTTTACATCCAACAACAATTCTTGAATTAATTTGTAAAAGAAAAAAAAAATTACCCAGTTTGGCCCAACCCGCCCTATACCCGACCCGCTACCTGGCCGGCTAGCCCAGCCCGAACCGGACCCAGTAGGTACCCGAGCCGGTTTCGGGAATCACGTACCCAAAAACAGCCCGATCGGGCCCAGACCGGCCCGAGTCATTCCCTACTTGCATGGTTGCATCCACTCTTCCAACAATTCGTAGGTTATGAATAAAATAAGGAAAATTACCCAAAATAGGAGCAAATGACACTTGAAATTCCTAAAATAGGACTAGTATGTTATTCCTCCCGAAATATGAATTATTACTGTCATGTATGAAAAATACTGTCATGATTGAAAAATACTGTCATTAATTATAATAAATAATGGCATGTTAAATGCACTGTACTGCAACTATTTGGCCGTCACGGCTACAAGATAACAGTAAATACTACCATGTTAGTCTCATTTCGGAAATAAAAACAAAGTAGTCTTATTTTGGAATTTCAAACCTATTTTGGGAAATCTCCCATAAAACAAACCTTTCATTTTGTAGTTTCCCACAATTTAATTTGCTCGACTTATAATAGTACGTAATCATGGACTCGGACCGGGCCCAGTCTGAGGGTTGGACGGGTCCGGTTCGGGCCAGGCCACCCGCCTGGGTCACCGGTCGAACCACCCGCCAGACCAGGTCGGGCCGGTTAAAGAATTTTTTTTTATATAATTTATATTTTATACTTTATAGTTTTATATAAGTATTAAAAACAAACTTCAAGTGCATTTATTTGAAATGAAATAGGAACTACATTTGAAAATTAAAACAAACTTCAAGAGACAAACATTTTGTAAATTGTAATCAATCGGAACTTCCCGCACCTCCCGATCCTTTGGCTTTGTCACATGACTTAATATGCTTCATTGTCATCCCGTATCCGCCTGAAACCCCCATGCTACATTTTTTTCCCGCACCATTTGCAAGTTGCGTACCACATCCCGGTCTTCGGGTCCTTCTGCTTATCAAAATTATACCGTATAACGACATATTGACTTTCCATCTTAAAAAGTTAAAAATGGTAGATATAATAATCCTACAATAGATGGAGATGAAATCTCATATATATGTTAAATACAAAGAAATCTCATTAATTGTGCTTTGTTGCTTAGCGGGAGTTAATTTCATTTTTTTAATAAGATTGGCAAATGTAGATTTGAAAATTGATTTTTCTTTAGATGATGTTTGTGTCGGGGGAGGGGGCGCATTGTCATATTGTGCATGAAACTCATTGAATAATGTATAAAATATATCACTAATCTCGTTGTATTCTTTTTTCAGATCAATTGGGTTGTCCTCATACATTGGCAATGGACCAAAAAAAGCAGCGTAATAATAATTCAAACATTCTTCTAAAGAACCAAGTCTAAAACGAAGATCGAGAACAAATGCAATACCATAAATATGTGGAATATGTGAATAATATTTTAATAACTTTTCCTTCATAAAACTAGCAAAATAACTCACATAATCAGCATTCTCAAAATTTGAAAAAGCACCGACGAGATTAACAACTTCACGAATAAATTGGTTGGAGGTAAGTTTATAAACATGACTAAAAGTTTCAGTTGCATTATTAAAATATATCAAAGCATTACAAATTTTTTCACAGGTGTCAATCTCAGCCGAATTTATAATATACTTATCATATTGTTTCATAAAAGCAGGAAAATATTTTTTTTTTAAATTTGACCGTTGGACCCGGACCCGGGCCCGACCCGGCAGGGCCGGGTCAACTTTTTCTGGAACCGAGCCCGCCCCGCCCATCCCCACCGGTTCGGGTCTACACCCGATCCCGGACCGCCAGACCGGATCGGTCCCGAGCCCGCACAGTAGCGGGCCGGGCTGGGTCACGGGCCGAGTGGCCCGAACCGAATCCACCCCTAATGGTACGAGTATGATTGAAGAAATGCAATATGCCTAATTTAACAGATTTTACCGATTATAGGTCATCATATCATTTTGTTTTAAATGAAAGTGGAAGTTGCAATGGAACCAAAGATTCATTATTTTTTGGCTTGAGATTATGATGGAATAAAGCAAAATGGCTCACTAAACTGTCTGCGATTCTTTGTTATGAAGCAGATGTCAGTCCATGCAATTTTGGACGAGATTTTCACTATGGGTCATCCGGAAACAGTCTCTCTGTGATTTAGTACAAGGTAAGACTGCGTACATCCGACCTCCCCTTACCCCACTGTAGGTGGGAGCCTTTGCGGCACTGAGGTAAATGAAAATGAAAATGAAAATGAAAGTGGAAGTTGAATTTACCAACTCACCTTCTCGTATTTTATTAGTCATCTCTCAAAAATTCAAAATTAATGACTTTAATTTTCTACCTTCAATGCACCTAAATAACGGCAAGTCATTGTATCTTGATCATTTACTGCTCTCATCTCAACGTATAAGATTTGTTCTTATTTTTCATATAATGAATTTTTATTACTTGATCTCAATCCTATATAACTTAGACCCAAAAAATCAACTTTTTTACTAGACGGAGTGGAGTATCAGTAGGTTGGTTAGTGCCCTCCATAAAGTAAAGGGCAAACAGGAGATCGATCGTATAGCAAGCAATGGGCAGCCCAGATTAAAAACAAAATAGAATGTGGTACATCCAGTAAACACCTAAGTATTTACAACCAAATTCCCATTGCGGGCCATCTCACAGAGAGTTGGTTAATTTATGATGATGATGATGATACATCAGCAGCAACATCATCTCTGAGGTTGATCGGAGGGACCTAAGGCCATGCTCGATGAGCCATTTTCTAGCGGTGGAGGAACTCCCCATTTTCCTTCTGATTCAAGTGGTTCAAATACAAGAACGCATCCATCTGATAGGCCCAACGCAAACTGATTCGCATCTTGTGGATGGGCTGCTACCACCAGTGCATGAACGCCTGAGCTGCTATAATTCACATTTAAGATGGATCGGTGTCATGACATTTATGTTGTCAGTTAAAAATCTTCACATTTATGCCAAAAAAATAACCTAGTCGTTAAGATTTAATCCAAAATACCCACTTGTTACGACATTCTTAAAAGAGATGCTAGATGCTATTTAAAACCCTTGTTCAGCAGAGTGGGTTATTACCCGTGCCCAGCCCCACTGGAATCCTGATCAAACAAACTAGTGTATGTGGTACTAATCAGGCAGGGTTTGGGTTGTAATGTAGTGTTCAACTCTTACATGAACCCACTTTTCTTAATAATTGTACCACCTCCTCATATCCCAATGTTAGGGGGACGGAGGTAATATATATTATTCCTAGTATGTAAAATGCACCTTTTAGACGAGTTGGGAAGAAGAGATAGGGAGGAGAGGGATAGAAAGACTCAAACAAACATGGATTAGCATGCTTAGAAATGATATGATATGTCTAGGGTTGGATGAAAGGTATGACTTTCGGAGAGAGCGAAGTGGGGGAGAATATGTGTGGAAGGTTGGTCTTTTTCTATCTTTTTAGCTCTGATTTCATGTCAATTCATGTTAGTTGATCTCAAACTCTTCTGGGACTAAGCCTTTGATGTTGTCATTGTATTCCTACTAAGTAAATGGATAACATATTTGGGTGTGTGTATATATACATTCATATGTATTTCACTAATATATATCTAATACGGAGTATATTATATTTAACATATACAGAGTAAGTAGTAGAATATAATAATTTAAATGTATATTAATGAATCTATGTATTCTGTTCCTGGTCAGGTTTGGGTACACATGGGCGATTGCTTAACGGGTTCTAGTTGGTTTTGGGACAAGGTTTCAATTGTAATATAAGAAATGGGCACCCAGTCCGCTGAAATCCCTTCATTGTCAATTTTCACTAGCATAATGGAAAATACAATGCAACGACCCATAGAGCAGTCAATGCAGGAGGTCATACACCAACTGGGGGAGATGCGAGGTCAAAGTGTGTACCTGAGACCAGGAGGGATATAAGCGGAAGGAGCGATCCGACATCTAAGACAGAGATTAGCAGCGGTGAATATGCACACACTTGCGTCTAAGAAACTGGCATACACCAACTGGCTATCACAAGAGAACGTTGCGTGTGATATTGGAGCTCCCGCCTCCCTTTGGACCCACTGATATACCAAAAAAACTTTTAGGATACATACATAGATGATAAGTTAATAACATCTGCAGTAGAAAGGGGGTGAGGGATACAAACGAGGAAAATTATTTTGGAAATTATTTTTATGTCTGGCATTGCTTTGGAGAGGGCACGGTAAAACAAAAAAGACACAATAAATAAAATCATTTCCCATTTTGGTTGTCTTACTTTCCTTTTTGAGTTGTCCTAAAATGAATGTCATGTTTCCTTTTTCGGCAGGAAATATGTGGTGCATATCATTTCACTTTATTCTACTCAAATTTCAACCACAACTTTTACTTTTCAACCAATTTATTAATAATAGTGCCAAACTAAAATAAGACAACCAATATGGGATGGAGGTAGTAGTTACTTTAAAAAAAAATGAAAAGTAAAAAGTGGGTGAATAAATATCTCAAATATATTATTGTTCAACTTGAAACCAATCTTTTATTTTACCCCAAAAATTATATCCATCCCTATTCCCTAGTATAACCCATTTTCTTATAGAAACAAACCATAGGATCAGTTTGGAACTGTTAAATACAAGGGAAAGAAATATACACAAAAACATCAATGAAAAATAGAAGGGTAGAAAAAGTGATGAAGAAAATTAAAACCGACTCAAAATTAAATTTAGTTTATATACTTGTTAATTCTCCCTGCCGTGGGGGGTAAGACTGCGTACATCCGACCCCCCCCCCCCCTACCCTACCGTAGGTGGGAGCCTTTGCGGCACTGGGGTAATGATAATGATGATGACTTGTTAATTCTCATTTTAATTTTTTGTGTATTATATAAAAACCAAATACATAAATAGGTGTATTATTTCTAAAAACCAAATACATTAATTCTCACTTGTTAATTTTCATTTTCCTGTGCATTTATTAAATCAAAACCAAACACAAGACAATTAGTTTTCCACAACTTTTTTCCCTATACCTGTCATTTTTCAGGATCCAAATGGAACCTTAGAGAAGATCAGAGCTTACCTGTTTAGCACACTCCAACTTGGTTGCTTCATAAATAGCAAGCTGAGTCTCATGAACAACCAAGAAATGAATTTGATCCTGATGAAATTGTACTCTCGTCTCTGATTGCACAGATGCTCTCCCCGATGGAAGTTGAAGGAACTTTGACTTCTGCTTTTCCCATCCATCCGAACTCCACACGAAAAGCTTCAAACGTTCATCAAATGTGCAGGTTAGCCTAATATATACTGTTGGCACATGCATAACAGAAAGAAATGGAATGAAAAGTCATACACAAAGAGAGTAGAAAATTCCATTACCTGTGCATCTGCTCCAGATGAAACCAGCACGTTAAGTATGTGAGAGAAGGCAAGTCCAGTCACTCTTTTAGAATGCCCTTTGAGTTTGCTCTTCACCTATTATACAAAAAATGGAACCTCCTTATTAACGATATATTTTGAACTCGTAAAATACTGGTGAATGAGACACCATCATCATTACTATTATTATTGTTAATTTGTTGTATATTTAAAAAAATAGAAATCCTTAGTTTTAAAAGGCGTGAGGCGCCATCAGGCATTTTTGTTAAATTTAGCCTTGGTGTGAAGCAAAGGCGCGCGCCTCACAGAACTTATGCATACAGATTAGTTAATACGTAGTAATACTTATAGAACTTGTACACGATACCTTCTACCCAAAAACAATGATAAAATCATATAAATACCAAAAGCAGTCACAAGATAAACAAGATAACCATACGATGATTACTAATTTAATGTGTCCAGAAGATTAAAGTTACTGATTTAACTAAAGTTTATAATGTAAAGTTTGTATTTACTAATTTAATGTGTCTTGGACTTCGAAAATTAAATTATACTACCTCTGCCCCATTCAAATGTTTGCATAATGGCACGGTTATTTAGACAATAATTAAATACGGTAATTCGAGTATATTTTGAAAAATAACTTTAATGGTTATATAATTTAACGGGGTCATTGATGATAACTATGATGTTATAAATGTATTTTTTTAATAGTTGATGACTAAATTATCATTTAAGAGGATCTTTAAAAAGGGACGTCCCAAAAAAGAAAGTGAGAACCTTGGAATGGGACGGAGGGAGTATCAGTCAGTTACTTACTTAGATAGATGGTTAAAACAATAAGGCTCGAGGCAAACAAATCACGATTAATACTCCCGAAATATATCGCATAAAGAGCAGAGGAAGAGTTTGAATTGTACTACATAATAAATAAGATAAGAGATGGAGTGGTTTTGGACTCTGGGAATACTACGCAGCAGAAGGAAGCTTGAGGCAAACAAATCACGACTGGAAAATAAATCGTCAAATTTACAACAATCACTGGGGCGGCCTGAGGTGCAAAAACGCGGAAAGAAGCGAGGAAAGCGCACACTTTATGGAGTCCGCTACGCTCTAGTTATCTGTTACGATTTTTTCTTCGCATATCTGCGCTTCACACCTAGTGCGCAAATTTTTTATAACAAGTAAAAACCTAAACATCATTTGCAAAATTTTTAAAAAAACATAAACGATATTTTGCTGTTCCCACTTCCATGGTAAACAACCATAAAAACAAACAAGAAAACAGCACCTCTAAGATTCTTTTTCCCCTTTCCCTGGAAGGTCTGGGGATCCAAACGTAATAATACTCCAAAAGATTAGCAATGGTTTCCGGTTGTTAATCGTCATACTCAATGCCTATCAGGATGAATAGGAGTTAGCAGTATCTAAATAGAATTAGGCGGGACCCAGTGTGTATGCATAGATTAATCAGGGTTTCTATGTATAATTAGGTGGGGAGAAAAAACACAAGTCCGTCCTAGGACAGCTAGCAACTGGACAGTCACGGATTTTTACAGTGGTAATTTATTTTAATAAATTGCTGCATCTATATCTATCATATATACCTCATCCACACGAACATTATATATTTGGATTGTAGAATCATCCATGCCAATAGCAATGATGTTGTTATCTTGGGGATGGAATGCAAGAAATGTTGCTGCTGGCGGAGGAGGCATGAAGGTCGTCATAGTCTGCACTCCGGAAACAAAAAAAATATCATACATCTTGAATCACAAGGAAAAACAAAAAAGAATACCAAAACTTAGCTAGATCTATATGATTTTGTGACCTTGAACGTCATCATGTTGAAGAGGGATATCTTCCCTCCCGAAGCTGACATCACATAAGAGTCATTTTTAGATAAAGCAAAACATGGCACAGCATCCTCCGGGTTTTTGTCCGCCACATCGTTCGTCATCAAGATGCCACTTGAAGGTTGCCATAATTGGGGTGCCATGCTGGCGGTTGCCTACAGTATGACAAAAGATCTCAATATAATCATTCAAAATCCAAAATTTGCAGGTGAGAAGGGAAATTACTTCATTCGATTCTAGTTTTACCTTGCCACTAGAATTACGGTCCCCACGTTGCCATTTCCATAGCAAATGAATGGCGTTTGATGCAAGGGCTAATAAAGCACCACCCGAATTCGTGTATATTAACCTTGATATCTTCCATATGCACAAAAGTAGATTCTTTATACAAAGAGAAGAGCAGGAAACTAATCCGTAGTAATAGTTTTCATTTCAGGTAAAAGAACGTGAACATAAATCCAACAATATTAATACCTTGGTTGCTCGCAAATTCTCAGGAAGCTTCAAGGAACGGCACTGAGAAGGTTCAGTAATTTCACTGAGCTTCCAAACTTTTGATTTATCATTTATTTCTTCTGTTATTCGCGGCTTTACATCCCCCATGTTTCTTGCATCCCCATTCTAACATACAACAAAAACAAAAAAGGTTTAAAATAATTATTACTTGTACGAATAGGAATGATCAAATATATATAGAAGTCACCCCCCATCCCACTCCTGGCACAAGTGATACCCAATCCATCCCACAACAATTGTCCAGTTTCTTCATTGAGCATGCATATATTTTCATTTCCAAGTTCACCCTATTTAAGCATCCATGTTCGTATCAAATACTATCCAAAACAAATTTACAAATAGACAACAACAACATCCAAGCCATATTCCCAAAAGATTTGGGGTCGGCTAACATGAATTGATCCATGATATCAGCGACAAAAAAAAGAAGAAAGATAAGAAAAATAAAAACAAAATAAGGTAAGATAAAATGGATTAGATGAAGATAATTAATTGTAGCAACTTGCAACTAACCAAAAATCAGTTCTTAGTTCATGTCTAGAAACAAAAATAGTGGAAGATCTTATTGGGACACACGTAATATTTAGGGAAAAGTACGGAAAAGGTACTTGTAGTTGGACCTGTTTTCAGATAGGGTCATGTGTTTCATTCTTTATCAAAGTAGTTCATGTGTTTGAATTCCGTTATCACAAGAGTGTCACGCCGTTAAAAACGTCTGAAAAAGACCTTTAAAAGTAACTCCATATTCCATAAGTACCCGAAAAATTAAAACAAAAATACTGAAAGGTGCGCTTCGTCAAGATGACCTCCAAACCACCTTCGCCTTTGGATTTTTCAGATATGTTTGAATTATTTTTTAAAAATGATTTCGCTAATATCACTTTTCCGATGGACTTTCCGATGACAAGGGTGGCTGAAAACATAAAAAAAAGACGGCCTAGCCGTCGTCTTATTGAGGCGCACCTTTTGGTATTTTTCTTTTAATTTTTCGAACACTTTTGAAAATCGGAGTTACTTTTAACGGTCTTTTTCAGACGTTTTTAAAGGTGTGACCCTCTTGTGATAACGGAATTCAAACACATGAACCATTTTGATAAAGAATGAAACACATGACCCTATCTGAAAACGGGCCCAACCACAAGTACCTTTTCCGTACTTTTCCCTAATATTTATTAGTGTACTTGAGGTTAGTTTGGATAGAAGGCTTAGGAGGGCTAAATCCATATCTTCATATAATCATATATAATAAAGATTCTGTAAATAATGATGCAACAACATAATAAGATGTACTATGCATAACATTTTGATCACTCATTACTCATGAAATGATAAGAAAAACATGAAATAACGAGATGCATAAGAAAATACAAACCATTCCAGAGGTGCCAACGACAGAGGCTACTCTATCAGCAAATGCGGCATTACTAGCAGACGCTACAGAGATTGGGTTTACTGAAGGCTACATAAAAAAGTAGAAATTATCTAAATCAATCTTAGAAAGATAAACAGATCCCAGTGAATACTATATAATACTTCTTCCGTCCCATAAAATTTGGCCAAAGTTGATGTGCACGAAGAATAATAAAATAAAAAATGTGTGGTTGAGGTTTGTGCAGAGGAGAAAGAAATAACTTTAGCCACATATTTATTACTTTAAATGGATATGGCAAAGTTTTTGGGACAGCCAAAAAAGGATATTTGGCCATGTTTTATGGGACGGAGGTAGTATATAATTGAAAAACATACCTTGCTAGCAGTTTCAGAAGCTCTTGCAGCATCATAAGCAAGGTTTTCAGATGTGCGTAGTAAGCGTATACCATCAGTGTTTGCTAAAATCTTGATCCCATTCTCGTTAGCAGAAACGGCAAGTAAAGTCCCATCCTTGTTGAACCGGATTCGCGGGCTTGCCTTGATTATAATATAATAAGGAGAGTCAAGACTTAGGTTATGTTTGGAACCCTAGGGGTCACGAATGAATAGAGTTTTTATATATTTGGTTTTACCTTGGAAACATGAAGGAAAATCAAATTTGAGTAGGGCTATGGGTTGCTAAGGATAAGATTTATTCATTTTTTGTTTTAGCTTGGAAAATACAAAGAAAACCAAATTTGATTAGGAACACATTTGAACAGTAAAGTGCTAGGGAAAGGAAAAAACATATACTCCCTCCGTCCCGGAATTATCTTCATACTTTCTTTTTCGGTCTGTCCCAAATTTATCTCCTCTTTCCCTTTTTAGCAATGAATTTGTGGTTCACAATCATTCTTACACATTCTTACACATTTCTCTTTCCTCTGCACAACTCTCCACCACACAATTCTCACTATCTTAATCTGTGTGCCATTTGTACTTCAGGAGATAAATATGGGACGGAGGGAGTAGAAATTATTTCTTGATGTACAGTTCCACCACGGAAGATGCTAACTGAATATGAAATACAATTATCTTCATTCAAACTTAGACATGTTTAGATATACATAGTAATACTTAGGGGTGTGCACAATTCGGTAAACCGACCGATCCAAACCGATACTGAAACTTCGGTACATACCAAATACAACAACAACATCCAAGTCTTAGTCCCAAAAGATATTGGGGTTTCGGTACATACCAAATACCGAACCAAAATTTCGGTTCGGTAATCGGTACGAATAATTTTGAAAATTCGGTATTTGGTTCGGTGTATATATAAATATTTTGGTTTTTGGTATGTAACGAATACCGAAATTTATAAAATAATAAATATTAAAGATATAATATATTTATATATTTTGGCCAGAAATATATAAATATTTATAAAGTTATATATATATATATATAGGGAGCGGATCAGGTGAGAAGTGCTCTTAGGTTGAGAACTGCGAAGTCTAACTTATAAGCTAAAAATACAAACTTTTAACCAAAAAATCATAACTTATAGTTCCCCTCGAAAATAATTACGAAAATGCCACCGCATCAAAAAATACTCCAGAAACCTGGAAAAAATTTTGACGCGGTGGCATTTCCGTAATTAAGATGGAGAGCTTTATAAGTTATGATTTATTGGTTGTAAGTTCCTATATTCGATCTATAAGTTTGTTGCGTTGTAAGATTAGATGCAAATCCAAGGGCTGAGATTATTTCTCACTTCTCATCTTAAAGAGGACTTCTCACCTGATCTTTTCTCTATATATATATATATAATATATTTCATTATGTATTATATATTTATATATAATATACGTAGTATTTATATATTATAAATAATATATTTAAATTTTTATTTATAAACAATTAAATAAATATTATTCAATGCCTAATTGGTTAATTCGGGTTAACCGATTACTTTACCAAATTTTTTCGGTTTTTACCAAACCAAACTGATTTAGTTCCGTTCGGTATTTTGATATGGGAATATGCATAACTGAAATTTCGATTCGGTTCGGTATTACCGAATGAACACCTCTGGTAATACTTCTATAGTACTACCAAAAACAACATACAGACCTTAATCTCAATTCTCAAAAGAGTTTGGGGTAGGCTAACATGAATCGACATATGACATGAGTATAAATGAACGAAATGAGTATAAAATAATATCCATACTTAGTGTGGAAACCCTAGTCATATTGGGCTTAGCCCATTTTGTATATCTTTGCATAGGAAACCCTAGTGTTCTAAATATAGCTTCTTGTATAGCATTTGATAACAAGAATAATATATATACAATTATATATAATTGCCCATTGCCCTGCGAATAGGTATGTGTTCTACTTTGAATCCACACCCCATAGATAACTTTTTGAGTTATCACCACCTTCTTACCCCTTACTTTGCTTTCATTTCACACTTGTCAGATATATGCATTCCTAAAACCACACATGAGGCACTTGCACATCCAGAGTGGCGTAAAGCCAGGATGATGGCTGAGATGGAGGCTCTTCATTCTCGTGGGACATGGGACTAAGTTTCCATTCCCATTGCAAATCAATTGTTGGGTGTAGGTGGATCTGCATGGCTAAAGTTGGTCTTGATGGGAAAAGTGGTCATTTCGTTTGATTTTATCCGAATGGGTCTGAATGGGTATACTCAAATCTATGGATTAGATTACACCGACACTTTTTCTCCTGTAGCCAAAAATGCATCAGTTCATTTGATTTTATTCATGGAAGCAATGAGTCACTCGCTATTGTTCCAATTGGATATTAAAAATGCATTTCTTCATGGTGATCTGCACGAGGAGGTTTATATAAAGCAACCACCTGGATTTGTTGTTCGGAGGACTCTGGTTTGGTATGCAAATTACGCCGTTTATTATATGGCTTAAAGCAATCTCCACATGCATGGTTCGGGAGGTTTAGTGCCATTATACGCAGCTTTGGCATGATTCGCATTGATTTCGATCATTCTATATTTTACAGATATTCTGCTCGCAATAAACGTATTTATCTTGTTGAGTATGTTGATGACATTGTCATTACAATTTACAAACGGTGATGAACAAGGAGTTGCGCTCCTCATTTAGAAAATTCCAAACTAAAGACTTGGGAAAGTTGAGATACTCCCTTGGCATTGAGGTCGCGCACTCTCAAAATGGAATTGCCCTCTCACAAAGAAAGTATGTCCTGGACATTCTTGAGGAAACAGATATGCTAGAGTGTATGTAGGCTGGTGGATACATGAATGGATCTGAACGTCAAACTCTTGTCATAACAGGGGGATCTTTTGCCCAACATTGTCAAACTGAATTACTCTACCATAACGAGACCAGCTATTTCATTTGTTGTAAGTATTCTTAGCCAGTTTCTTGATAAGCCATGTAATGGAGCTATCTGTGTTTTGAGATACATCAAGAAAATACCTGGATACGGATTGCTCTTCGAAGATTGAGGTCACCATGATATTGTGGGATATTGTGATGCAGACTGGACCGGATGGCCGATTCATAGACGTTCCACTTAGGATTATTGCATCTTGATGGGTGGAAACTTAATTTTATGGAAAAGTAAGAAACAAGATGTGGTTGCCAGATCCGGTGCATCAGTGTTGAAGCAGAATATCGTGCAATGGCTCTTGTTACATGTGAAATCTTATGGTTGAAGCATCTCCTCCAAGAGTTAAAATATGGAAACACAAAACCGGCTCAACTCATGTGTGACAATCAAGCCGCAATGCACATTGCATCAAATCCGAGATCATGAGAGGACTAAGCATTTTGAAGTTGATTGTCATTTTATCCAAGAGAAGATCACAAATGGACATATAACCAAAAGTTATGTTAACACAATTAATCAATTTGCAGATATCTTAACTAAGTCTCTTAGAGGACAAGAGTGGGATATAGTTGTAAGAAGCTTGGAACACATAAGTGTGGAAACCCTAGTAGTATTAGGCTTAGCCCATTTTGTATATCTTTGTATAGTTTCTTGTATAGCATTTGATATCAAGAATAATATATCTACAACAATATATATTTTCACACTTAGTTTAGCGTATCCTCAATTTTAACCCATATTTTCTTTCCTTTAAACTTTTCTCAGAGTTTTCTTTCCTTTAAAAATGTACAGTCGAGTTAGTTGTAGATAAATTAGAATACTTAGCCTTATCTGATGTAATTTACTCACACGTATTAGATAAGTATGGTTAGGTAGTCAGATCCTAATTTTTAGGATCTCATCCGTTAGACTGTTAGACTTGTATCCTATATATATTGTAACCGAGTGATGGAATAAATTAATTCTATTCTCCCAAACTTACATGGTATCAGAGACAGGTTGTTTAAACACCACAATGGTGGAAACCGAACACTCTGATTTTTCCCCCCACTCACAAACCCATCACCCTAACTCCCAAATTAGCCAAATGACAAACTACCAGGCCTCAGTTAATTCATCTATGCTCATTACTGGACATAGATTGAATGGAACCAATTATCTAGAATGGTCACAGTCTGTCAAGCTGGCAATAGATGGAGGAGGAAAGTTGGGATACATAACAGGTGAAATAAAGGAGAAGAAGAGTGGTGATGATGGCTACAGCGTCTGGAGGTCAGAAAACTCTTTGGTAACAGCCTGGCTTCTCAGTTCAATGGATGCATCAATCGTCAAACCTCACATGTTCATGAAAACTGCAAAAGAGGTATGGGATTCCATTAAAGAAACCTATTCAGATCTTGAGAACTCTTCTCAGATTTATGAATTAAAAACAAAGTTGTGGCAGTCCAAACAAGGAAGTAGAGATGTCATCTCATACTATAATGAGATGGTATCTTTATGGCAAGAGTTGGACCAATGATGTGATGCTGAAGACTGGGAGAGTGCCAAGGATCTGGCAAGACACAAGAAGAGGGAGGAAAATGACAGGGTCTATATGTTCCTAGCAGGAATTAATAGAGATATGGATGAAGTTAAGGGAAGAATACTTTGAAAAAAACCTCTACCTTCAATCAGGGAGGTATTTTCTGAAATCAGGGTGGAAGATAGTAGAAAAAGGGTCATGAATAACACTCCAGTCCATCATGATGAACCTGGAGAGTCCTCAGCAATGATTGCCAAAGGAAATGAGAAGAAGAAGCCTTGGCGTGATCATTGCAAGAAGTTGTGGCATACTAGGGAAACTTGTTGGAAGACTCATGGCAAACCACCTGGAGCAGGACAAAAAAAGGTTGAAAGGGCCCTACATACTGCCACACCTGAAACTGATCAAGAGCAACAAGTCAATTTCAAGCAGCCAATTTTCACCAAGGATCAGATAGAGCAAATCCTACAATTTATCAATACCCAAAAGAACCCTAAATCAGAAAACCCTTCTTGTTCTTTTGCTCAGAATGGTAAAATTGCATCATTTTTCTGTTCTGGAAAACCAAATACCACCTGGGTCATTGACTCAGGTGCAACAAATCACATGACCTCCATTTCCAATCTATATTCTTCTTATAAACCCTGTGCAGGGGATAAGAAAATTAAAGTTGCAGATGGCTCTCTTTCAGCCATTGCAGGAACTGGAAATGTTAAAGTTTCCACTTCTATTGATCTTTCTAAAGTCTTACATGTCCCAAACCTATCCTGTAATCTTGTTTCTGTTAGCAAATTAACCAAAGATCTCCAATGTTGTGTTAAATTTTATCCTTCATGTTGCATTTTTCAGGATCTGGCAACGGGGAAGATGATTGGCAGTGCTAGGGAAGAAGATGGACTATATTTTTGATAAAGGGACTGAATCAAATAAACAAGGTCAAAGAAATACTTGTCTGCAAACTATTACTTTTCCCAGTAATAATGAGTTGTATTTAATTCATTATAGACTAGGTCATCCTCGCTTCCATTATTTAAAAAAGTTGTTTCCTCAATTATTTCATAATAAAAATGTTTCACAATTTTATTGTGATATATGTGCACTTGCAAAGCATCATAAAAATTCATATCTTCCCCACACTTACAAACCTACCAGTCCTTTTACTCTTGTGCATAGTGATATTCGGGGAGCATCTAGAGTCCCTACCTTAAAAGGAAAGAGATGGTTTGTAACAATTATTGATGATCATACAAGAATGGCATGGGTATTCTTAATCAAGGAAAAATCAGAAATAAAATATGTATTTAAGCAGTTTTATGCAATGGTCCAAACTCAATTCAATACCAATATCAAAATGATAAGAAGTGATAATGGCCGGGAATACTTTTCTACAAATCTGAATCAATTTTTTGCTGAAATGGGAATAATTCATCAAAGTTCTTGCATTAATACTCCTGCTCAAAATGGAATTGCTGAGAGGAAAAATAGACATTTACTTGAAGTTACACGTGCAATCATGTTTTCAATGAAAGTTCCAAAATATTTATGGGGAGATGCTGTTTTACATGCTACCTATTTAATAAATAGGATGCCATCAAAAGTTTTAGGGTTTAAAACTCCAATTAGTATTCTTCAAGAATGTTACCCTACTACTAGATTGATTAGCACTCTTCCTTTAAAAATCTTTGGTTGCACTGTGCTTATTAAAAATCCAGACAAAACTGCAAGTAAGTTTGATCCTAGACGAACTAAGTGTGTCTTTCTAGGTATTTCATCCACACATGAACGGTATAAATGCTTTGATCCTTCAACAAAAAAGATGTTTATTTCAATGGACACTGTTTTTGTTGAAAATCAAGTATTTTTTTATACTCATCTTCAAGGGGAGAGTTCAAATGAAGATGCTAACAATGTGTCACATATTCATGACAATCTTGATTTTCTTGACATTAATCTAGATATGCAATCTATTGGAAACTTAGATGCATTAGAAAATGGTCAAACATCAGAAAATAATGAAATAAATACAACTGATAAAATGGGAAAAGAAGAGCTGCAGATCAGTAAGTTCTTTGGCAAGGTTTATGAGAGAAAGGTTCCAAATCAAAGAGAAGAGGAAGTCTCTGAACCTACATCTGTTGATGAATCTGACCTAATGACAGTAAATGAACAAGGTAATAACTCAACTGATCTTGATTTACCTATAGCTCTCAAAAAAGAAAGAAGGTCATGTGTCAAATATCCTATTTCAAACCATGTTTCCTATTCTAGATTATCCTCTACATTTGCAACCTTTTCTTTTATTGTCTCCTCTATTTCTATCCCATCAACCACACAGGAAGCTCTATCTAAACCTGAGTGGAAAAAAAGCTGTTTTGGAAGAGACAGATGCTCTTGAAAAGAATCAGACATGGAAGGTTGTAGAGCTACCAAAAAACAAGCCCACAGTTGGATGTAGATGGATTTTTACTCCTAAGTTCAAGGCAGATGGCACTCTTGAAAGATATAAGGCAAGGTTAGTTGCCAAAGGTTATACACAAACTTATGGCATAGACTACACTGAGACCTTTGCACCAGTTGCAAAGTTGAATACTATCAGAATTCTTCTATCTATTGCTGCAAATTTAGATTGGCCTCTTCAACAGTTGGATGTGAAGAATGCTTTTCTAAATGGAAAACTTGAGGAGGAAGTTTACATGAATCCTCCTCCTGGGTTTGAAAGAAGGTTTGGTTCAAAAGTATGTAAGCTGGAAAAATCTCTGTATGGACTCAAATAGTCCCCAAGGGCTTGGTTTGATAGGTTCACACAGTTTGTTAAAAAACAAGGATATAAACAGGCCCAAGCTGATCATACTTTATTCATAAAATGCTCAAGTAAGAGGGAGATTGCTATATTAATTGTCTATGTAGATGATATTATCATTACAGGAGACTTTTATGCAGAAACACAAAACCTGAAGAGAAAACTTGCTACTGAATTTGAGGTCAAAGATCTGGGAGAGTTGAAATACTTTCTTGGCATGGAAATAGCTAGATCAAAAAAGGGAATTATTGTATCTCAAAGGAAGTATGTTTTGGATCTTCTTCAAGAAACAGGGATGAGTGCATGTAAACCGGCTGACACTCCTATAGATCCAAATCAGAAGTTAGGAGATGTCAGAGATGGGGTTCCAATCAATGTGCAACAATATCAGAGATTGGTAGGAAGACTTATCTACTTAGCACATACCAGACATGATATTGCTTTTGCAGTTAGCATGGTAAGTCAGTTTATGCATTGTCCATATAAAGAACATCTTGAGGCAGCTTACAGAATTCTTAGGTATTTGAAAAGTTGTCCTGGAAAAGGATTGTTCTTCAAAAAGAACCATAGTAGGGCAGTAGAGGCCTTTACAGATGCTGATTATGCAGGATCAATGAGTGATAGAAGATCTACTTCAGGGTATTGCACTTATGTATGGGGAAACCTAGTGACTTGGAGAAGTAAGAAACAGAATGTGGTAGCTAGAAGCAGTGCAGAAGCAGAATTCAGATCAATGGCCAATGGTATATGTGAACTTCTACTTAGGATTCACTTGTGAACCTGTGTGCATCATCATATGGCGACCATCCACTTGCGAACCACATGTAATAAAAAGGCTTCATGACGTTGGAGTTGGAGTGTGACGTCAGATTAAATCTTTTTAATGGGAGGCATTGCTTTGTGAACTAAAGGGGTATGGGAACTAAAGGGGTCTCACAGAATGAAATTTGTGTAAGGGGTTTTATATATAGCTACAGGAAAACTTTAGATGTAGAGTAATCCCACTAACCAGGTTTTAAATGTAAGAAGTAGGTTACTTACATTTTCTATGTAAGTAGCCTATTTGTCTGGAAACGTGATGGCTCACCTTCTCTGAGGTCTTGAAGGCCGAGAAGTAGGTGGTTGCCACCTTTACAGATGCTGATTATGCGATCAGTGAGTGATAGAAGATCTACTTCAGGGTACTGCACTTATGTATGGGGAAACCTAGTGACTTGGAGAAGTAAGAAACAGAATGTGGTAGCTAGAAGCAGTGCACTTCTAGCACTTGGAGAAGCCATTGATCAGAAGCAGAATTCAGATCAATGGCCAATGGTATATGTGAACTTCTTTGGATCAAGAGAGTGATCAAAGAACTAGATATGGAATTAGAGTTACCTATGAGACTATATTGTGACAACAAGGCAGCTATTAGTATTGCACACAATCCAGTCCTACATGACAGAACAAAGCACATTGAAGTGGACAGACACTTTATCAAAGAGAACATTGAAGCTGGAACTGTGTGTACACCATTGGTGCCTACCAAGGATCAAACTGCTGATATTCTAACGAAAGGATTGTTCAAACCAGTGTTTGAACAACTAGTAAGCAAGTTGGGAATATATGATATATATTCACCAACTTGAGGGGGAGTGTAAAAATGTACAGTCGAGTTAGTTGTAGATAAATTAGAATACTTAGCCTTATCTGATGTAATTTACTCACACGTATTAGATAAGTATGGTTAGGTAGTCAGATCCTAATTTTTAGGATCTCATCAGTTAGACTGTTAGACTTGTATCCTATATATATTGTAACCGAGTGATGGAATAAATTAATTCTATTCTCCCAAACTTACATATTTCTAGATTTTTAGATTTATTAATCTTTATATGATAGAAATATATATAAATGAGGTGAGTCAGTTGGAACAAATATGTAACATTGATTTATTTCCATCCAAATTTATTTTTTCCCAAAGCTTACTTCCTTCCAAAGCATTTTTCGAGTTTAAAAAATGGATCCTTAGAATAATTAGCATGCAGGCCAAGCTTAGACCGATATGAGTGGGCTCTCTTATTATTATCATTATCATTATATTTTATTATTTTTTTATTGTTAGTATTATCATCATCGTCATCATTATTATTTTTATCATCATCATTACTATTATTAGTTTCCCTATAAGTATTAGTATTAGTTTCCTATTGTTATTAATAGTAGTAGTCCGCCCTTGCATATTATTAAGAAGTCTATTATAGTTAATACGTAGTATTTCTAATAGCATTATTGCAATAAATTTAGGGTTACTCTAATACTAATCCACCCTTGCAACTAGTATAAATAGACTCTATTGTAGTTAATCCTTGGAGTCTTGACAAGGGAGGACGCCGCCTTCTCTTGCCTAGGGCGGAGAAGTTCTTCATCTTTATCTTTATTTATTTAATTGATCTTATTTAGGAACTTACCGGAAGCCCTCCATCCGCATCAATACTGGTCAACATCTGGACGTTGTCCATATCCCAAAACTTTATGGAAAAGTCATCCCCTGCTGCCAAAAACCTGTTTCTGGTGGTGTCGAATTGCACAACGCCATAAGAACGCTTTCGGAAACCCTGGTATGTCCTCTTGACAGCTCCTTCACTCTCGTTCCATTCAACAATATGTGACTCCCCGTCTTTGCTTGTTCCACAAGAAAATAGTCTGATTCAACAAAAAATGGGAAGAGAAAATGCAAGTGTTAGGAACTTATGGTCAATAATATGTTGAGTAGCAATCAAGGATCCACAAAGCATTATTTAAAAATATCAATAACCTTCATCCCGAAAGAGAAAGAAAGGTTCTGTTACAAACTATTTTGTCCCCGTAGAAAGTGGGAAAGGAAAATGTAAGATAATAGGAAGTAATCGTCTACAATTGTTGTGTAGCAATCATCATTGCAATAGCTGCTATATGAAATATACACTACCTTTGTCCCCAAAAGGAAAAAATATGTTCTGTTACAAAAAAATTTGTCTGAAAAAGAGAAATGCATTTATTTATACAACGTTATTTTTCTGCGAAATTTTACAAAAACGAGTCGCAAACAAGTTACATCACACACACACATATCAAAAAGAGTAAAAGAGAGGGGTAGGATTCATATTTTATGGCAATTCTACCTCAAACATGACTTTTCGTGTGGGGACGGAGGTAGATATATATTATACTCCCTCCGACCCCTTTCAACCTTTAGTAATGAGTCCTTACATAATTTTCCCAGTTCTTTTAAGGAAAGAATAGAGTGATTAATAATGATGACATAATTTCTAAATAAATAGCAACCCTACAATTTGATTTTCTTAATCTCTGAAAAGTCAAACAGCGTAAACTAAATAGGAAGGAGTAGTACATTGTATCATTGTTTTTCTAAACAAAAGGAGTGTTTAGTGATCAAACGCTAATTAAAGATCTGTGGCAGCGTCAGGAGGCCCCAAATAGATGCCTAGAGGCATTTGGGGTGCCTAGGTGGCACCTAGTCAGCCCAAGGCCCTAAGCATAAAAAACTGGTTATTTTCCTTGTGTAACTTCAGCCAATGAGGCATCTAGGGCCAATATAGTACATAGTGTGAACAGAATGAACCTTGCTCCATCAGCACTGTATGCCATTGTTGTACACCAGCGACCGGGAGCATCATAATCCACTCGGGATCCCATATTATCATACAACCATGCTTTTATCTTTCCATCTATCGCAGTGGAAAAGATAAACTGAAAATGAATAGGAGATGTAAATGTTAAGGGGTGGGAAAGGAAACATCAAAGCACAGAATTTGAAGGCTTAGGATAATCATATTGTCAAAAAGCAATATTACCTGAACGCTCTCCTTATGGTGAGGACACACAGAATACACCGGAGCCTCGTGTCCTTCAAACGTATACTGTTTAGTGCCATTCGTTGCATCCCATACCTAAAAAATCAGCAAATGTCATATACTCTTTTTTCTATGAATAATTATTTTCACATCATTTTCATCATTTTCATTTACCCCAGTGCCGCAAAGGCTCCCACCTATGGTGGGGTAAGGGGGGGTCGGATGTACGCAGTCTTACCCCTGTACTAAAGCACAGAGAGACATGAATAATTATTTTCACATAGGTAAAAAAATCAGGAAAAATGTGTATGTCTTTACCTTTATGGTCTTGTCATCTCCACATGTAATCACACAGAGCTGCTTATTAGGATGAGAGAATGCAAGATCATTTACACCTCCAACATGAGCATCAATCTGTATCAAACACTCATCAACACCATTATAAAAAATACACTTCATACAAAGTAAAGATAAAAGAAGAGAACCCACAATCATTAATTTCGCCATTTTCATGAGTAGCAAAAATCTCTTGAAAAAAATTAGATGGTGGAAGGGTAGAATAGATTTTAAATGAATATACTTCTCCATCACAAACTACTTACTCTGAATTATTTGTCTTTTTATACTTGTTCAAAACAACATAGGGGGGTGGATTCGGTTTTTTTGGTTCAGTATAAAAAACTTCAGTTTGGTTTTGCCTTCCACGACATGAAACCTGAGTTAGATTGGTTCCATTTATTTTGGTTCGGGTTTGGTTTTTCCAGGATTTTTTATAGAAATAATGTTTCCATTTCATAAAAAATTACACAAAATGAAGAAAAAACTACAGCGTAAAAAATAATAAAAACATACTAAGACAAATAAAATAAAATAAAATAAAATAAAATAAAATAAAATAAAATAAAATAAAATAAAATAAAATAAAATAAAATAAGGTAAAATAAAATAAAATAAAATAAGGAATACAGATATTGGTAACTATACGTCAGAGGACACATAATTTTACGATTTTTTGGAATAATTAAACACAAAGTGTGAAGTAAGATTATATAGTATTGTCTATAAAAAAAAAGCTATTGCAGTTTTGTTCTTAATTTACACTTCTGTGTTTAGTTCAAACAAAGTTGATGAAAGTATATATTCTATTAGGTACAGTTGAGATGAATATTTATTTTCTCTAAATAAAAAACTATAGGATACAAAAAAAAACTAATAGGAATGAGCAGCAAAGATACATCACTATCATGCAACAAACAACAAAATGCAAAAACAAAAAATTACTCCCTCTGTCCCATTGGACTTTGCCAACTTTTCAATTAAAGCAACTAATTTGTGATTCTGCACATTTCTCTCTTCTCTGCACAAATCTCAGCCACACAGTTTTTACTTTTCTTATTTCTCACCTACTTTGCACTTGGCAAAGTCCACCGAGACAGAGGTAATAATAGATCTATAGAAAATGGTACATTTATTATTTATTATTAGATAGTGTATGTGTGTAGCTGTATAGATAAGATTGTAGAGTTGTTAGACTTCATTAATTAGTAGATAAGTATTGTAGTCAGATGGATCCTATTTTTTAGGATCTCCACGGGGAGTTTGTTTATTGTACTCTGTATATATATTTTGGCCATATGGCTCACTATAATCAAGGAAGATTATTTCCTAAAACCTACATGGTATCAGACACAATGGTGGAATTCGAGAACTCTGGCTCATCTTCCGAATCACAAACCATTAACCTTAATCCCCAAATTAGCTCAATGACAAACTATCGGGCCTCGATTCATTCATCTATGCTCATCACTGGACATAGATTGAATGGAAAGAATTACCTAGAAATTTGGCAATTGATGGCAAGGGAAATTTGGATACCTAACCGGAAAAAACAAGGAGAAACAAAGTGGTGATGATGGCTACAGTGTCTAGAGGTGAAAATTCTTTAGTAACAGTCTGGCTTCTCGGTTCAATGGATGCATCAATTGTTAAGCCTCACATGTTCATGAAAACTGCAAAGGAGGTATGGGATTCTATTAAGGAGACTTACTCAGATCTTGAGAATTCTTCCAGATTTTTGAATTGAAAACCAAGTTATGGCAGTCCAAACAAGAAAATAGAGATGTCATCTCTTACTACAATGAGATGGTATCTCTGTGACAAGAGTTGGATCAATGCTATGATGATGAAGAGTGGGAGAGTGCTAAGGATCTAGCAAGACACAAAAAAAGAGGAAAATTAGAGGGTCTATATGTTCCTAGCAGGAATTAATAGGGATCTGGATGAAGTGAAGGGAAGAATACTTGGAGAGAAACCTCTACCCTCAATCAGAGAGGTATTTTCTGAGATCAGGATAGAAGACAGTAGAAAAAAGGTTTTGTACAATACTTCAGTACATAAAAGAGAGTCCTCAGCAATGATTGCCAAAGGAAATGAGAAGAAGCCATGGTGTGATCATTGCAAGAAACTGTGGCATACCAGGGAGACATGTTGGAAGATTCATGGAAAACCACAGATTAGATTTGAAAAGGCCCTACATACTACCATGCCTGAAACTGAACAAGAACAAGAAGTCAATTTCAAGAAGCCCTCTTTCACAAAGGAACAGATAAAGCAACTCCTACATCTTCTAAATACCCAAAAGAGCCCTAACCAGGAAACCCCTTCTTGTTCTTTTGCCCAAAATGGTAAAATTACATCATATTTCTGTTCAGAAAAATCAAAAAACACCTGAGTCATTGACTCGGGTGCAACAGACCATATGACCTCTATTCCAAAATTCTACTCCTCATATAACCCTTGTGCAGGAGATAAGAAAGTTAAAGTTGCAGATTGCTCTTTTTCAGCCATTGCAAGGATGGGAAATGTCAAGATTTCCTCATCTATTAACCTCTCTAAAGTCTTACATGTTCCAAACCTTTCTTGTAATCTTGCCTCTGTTAGCAAATTAACCAAAGAGCTTCAGTGTTGTGTCAAATTTTATCCCTCTTATTGCATTTTTCAGGATTTGGCAACGGGGAAGATGATCGGCAGTGCTGGAGAGGAAGATGGACCCTTTGTCTTTGATGAAGGAACTAAATTGAATGAACAAGGTCAAGAAAATGATTGTCTGCAAACTATTTCTCTTTCTTGTAATAATGAAGTGTATTTAATGCACTATAGACTAGGTCATCCTAGTTTTTACTATTTTTTACTATTTAAAAAGGTTGTTTGCTCAGTTGTTTCATAATAAAGACCCTTCATCATTTCATTGTGATATCCCTCATATCCCAAGAATTCTTATATCCCTCATAGTTACAAACCTACTAGTCCTTTTACTCTTGTGCATAGTGATATTTGGGGTGCATCTAGAGTTTCTACCTTCAAAGGACAAAGATGGTTTGTAACTATTATAGATGATCATACACGGGTAGCATGGGTTTTTTATTAAAGAGAAATCAGAAAATTTACTCAATGGTTCAAACCCAATTCAATACCAATATCAAAATGGTAAGAAGTGATAATGGCTGTGAGTATTTTTCTCAAAACTTAACAATCTTTTTGCTGAAAAGGGGATTATTCATCAAAGTTCTTGCATAAATACACCTGCTCAGAATGGAATAGCTGAGAGGAAAAATAGGCATTTACTTGAAGTCACTCGTGCAATCATGTTTTCAACCAAATTTCCAAAATATTTATGGGGAGATGTTGTTTTACATGCCACCTATTTAATTAATAGGATGCCATCAAAAACTCTAGGATTTAAAACTCCTATTGATACCCTTCAAACCTGCTTTCCTAAAACCAGAATTATCAACTCTCTTCCTTTAAAAAATTTTGGTTGCAGTGTTTATTCACAACCTTGACAAAACAGCAAGTAAATTTGATCCTAGAGGTAAAAAATGTGTCTTTTTAGGACTGTCTCCAACACAGAAAGGATATAAATGTTTTGATCCTACAACAAAAGAGATGTTTGTAACAATGAACACTAATTTTTTTGAGAATCAACCTTTTTTAATACTCATCTTCAGGTGGAGAATTCAAGTGAAGATGGTAAGAGTGTATTACATATCCATGTCTTGAATTTCTTGACATTAATCTAGATGCACATCATACTAGAGACTTAGATGCATCAGAAAAAGTCAAGAAATAGAAGAAAATGAAATAAATATAACTGAAACAAGGAAAGAAAATGAGCAGCAGACAAGTAAATTTTTTGGCAAGGTTTATGAAAGGAGAGTTCCAAATCAAAGAATAGAGGACATCTCTGATCCTGCAACTGCTCATGAATCTGACTCAATGACAGCAAATGAAAAAGGTAATAATTCCAGTGATCTTGACTTACCAATTGCTCTCAAAAAAGAGAAAAGGTCATGTGTCAGATATCCTATTTCAAACTATGTGTCTTATTCCCAGTTGCCCTTATCATTTGCACTTTTTACCTCTAGTATTTCCTCTATTGCTATTCCTTTAACTATACAGGAAGCTCTATCTAAACCTGAGCGAAAGAAAGCTGTTATGGAAGAGATGGATGCTCTTGAAAGGAATCGGACATGGCAGATTGTAGAGTTACCCAAGAACAAACCAACAATGGGATGTAGATGGGGTTTTACTCCTAAGTTCAAGGCAAATGGAACCCTTGAATGATACAAGGCAAGATTGGTGGCCAAGGGATATACACAAACCTATGGCATAGACTATACTGAGACCTTTGCTCCAGTATCAAAATTAAATACTATAAGAATTCTCTTGTCTTTAGCTGCTAACCTAGATTGGCCACTTCAACAACTAGATGTGAAGAATGCCTTCTTAAATGGGAAGCTTGAAGAGGAAGTGTACATGAGTCCTCTTCCTGGGTTTGAGAGTAAATTTGACTCAAAGGTGTGCAAATCGGAGAAAGCCCGGTATGGACTTAAAAGTCCCCATGGGCCTGGTTTGACGGGTTCACTCAGTTCATAAAGAGACAGGGGTTCAAGCAAGCTCAAGCTGATCATACACTTTTTATGAAATTTTCAAGTAAGGGGGAGATTGCAATACTAATTGTTTATGTGGATGATATTATTCTTACAGGAGATTATCATAAAGAAACTCAAAGTCTAAAGAAGAAACTCGCTCATGAATTTGAGGTCAAGGATATGGGAGAATTGAAGTATTTTATGGGCATGGAGATAGCTAGATCAAAGAAAGGAATTATTGTATCACAAAGAAAGTATGTTCTAGATCTTCTTCAAGAAACAGGCATGAGTGCATGTAGACCAGCAGATACTCCAATTGACCCTAATCAGAAGTTGGGAGATGTCAAAGAGGGAGTTCCAGTCAATACTCAGCAATATCAAAGATTGGTGGGAAGATTGGTATATTTGGCACATACAAGGCCAGATATTGCATTTGCGGTTAGTTTGGTTAGTCAGTTTATGCATAATCCAGTCGAGGAACATCTTGATGCTACTTACAGGATTCTAAGGTATTTGAAAAGTTGTCCAAGGAAAGGATTATTCTTTAGAAAGGGCAACAATAGAGCTGTTGAGGCCTTTACAGATGCAGACTATGCTGGCTCAATTAACGATAGAAGATCTACTTCTGGATATTGCACCTATGTATGGGAAACCTGGTAACTTGGAGAAGTAAGAAACAGAATGTAGTTGCTAGAAGTAGTGCAAAATCTGAATACAGGTCTATGTTTAAAAATGAAGATGGATCTACCTATGAAGTTGTATTGTGATAACAAGACAGCCATTAGTATTGCTCATAATCTTGTGCTACATGATTGTACTAAACATATTGAAGTGGACAAACACTTTATCAAAGAAAAGATTGAAGTTGGAATTGTGTGCATACCATTCATACCTACTAAAGAACAAACAACTGATATCTTCACAAAGGGATTTTTCAGACCAGTGTTTGAACTACTTATAAGCAAGTTGGGGATGTATGATATATATTCACCAACTTAAGGGGGGGTAGAAAATGTTACATTTATTATTTATTAATAGATAGTGTATGTGTATAACTGTATACATAAGATTGTAGAGTTATTAACTTCATTAATTAGTAGATAAGTATTGTAGTTACATAGATCCTATTTTTTAGGATCACAGGGAGATTGTTTATTGTACTTTGTATATATATTGTGGCCGTATGGCTGAGTATAATCAAGGAAGATTAATTCCTAAAACCTACAAGATCAATATAGTTATATTATAAAAACAACATGTATTACTTTTTGTTATTATATTATGCTTATATAATCATTTACTATGGTGCATCTTCTTACTTTGTTTTGCTAAAAAATAGCTAATTATGCATATATTTGAAACGGGCATATTAGTTTTTCTCAATTTTTATGTGTAATTTAGAGTTTTCTAATTTAGTTTGAGCACCTAAATAAGAACTCTACTTAGGAATGGACATAGTAATTTGAGTTGAGAAGTGGCCAACCTGTAAAGAAATTGTGTGCTCGGGGATTTATAAAACGACCAACATTGCCCTATCATAGAGCCATATGTATCTCTTAGGAAATGTTTGGTGGGAGACTTTGGAGGAATGATAGGCTTTTGAGTTACTATTTAATCTGTATTGGATACTCTTAGAATAAAGTTGCCAATGGCACGTGATAAAACCCAGACGTAAAATGGTGCAACACCAATGGAAATGCCTAGGTGCCTTAGTCGACACCTAGACGCCCTGGTTGGCACCTATGCGCCCGCCTAGGTGGGCTAGGCGCTAGGCAGCCAGTCACCGCACGACTAGCGCCTACGCCTTTTAGAACACTGCTCATGACCATAACCAACTTCCACTACAACAACAACAACAACAACCAAGCCTTAGTCGGAAAAGATTTAGGGTTGGCTGACATGAATTGATACATGATATCGGAGCCAAAAAGAAAAGAAAAAAAAGATCAGAGAGATACAATGATATGGTAAGATGACAAACTTCAACTAAGGGCTGAAAAATAGCAACAACTTCAACTGCCTTTCAAGAGTTGTTTCTTCCGGCGAGAATAAGTCTTCAGTGGCTTATCAGCACACACCATAAATAGCCAATGGCAGTTTGAAGCTCTCTTAGCCATAGAAATGCACCATGGCGACCAACATTAAACATTACTGTGATGGTGCCATTTATGTGCCATCGGCATACCATATGAGCCACAAATCTGTCCTCGATTGTTTGCATACTAATTTAACAACTGTTGGAGCTTGGGGCCTAATTATTAATTGACCGGTCAACCTCAGCCCACAATATAGGTAAAAAGAACCCTATTACCCAACCATACTAGGCCAAACAAGTTGCAAGTACTGGGATATTTGAACCCAAGCTTCATCTTTGTTAATTTGTGACAGCTATGCAACTGCACGAAAATCAGAGAAGTTGCACAACCAAGTAACAGCAGAGGAGCAACACGAATTGAATGAGGATAAAGAGTTATTCTCAAATTCAGATGCAGATGATGACAAGAAGTGATAATGATTAGATCATAATAGTTGGCCTACAAACTCACATATTTTGGAAGCTTCACCCTCTTTATTTGTTATTAAGTCATTTTTTACTTTTTATACTATTCGAACTTGACTAAAAGTATATTCTGGTTAGAACTCAGTTATTTTTCTCTTTTACTCATTGGTGGTTGAATAGTAGAACTTTATTATTTATAGTTCAAATGTACTTGTTAATTTTTGTGTCATGTGGTGATGCACTAACACCATCACCACGAGAAACTGGCTCATCCCCATTGACTGTCTCCATACACCATGCCATGACAGCTATGAAATCAATCAATAATAGAATAAATATCACACACACCTTCACTCCACTCCAAAATACCCTGACCAAACTAGGACTTCCCAAATGAAGGGTGACAAAATAACTGACCATAGGATATAATAGGGAGTAAAGTGGCAGCACGCGAATTTATTACCTCCAGATGCTGGCGCACATCATCATTTCCATGATAAGAATATATTTGCACAATATGCCTCGAATATGCAACCCCTGCACAGCGTAGTTACAAAAAAAACATCTATTATGAATGAAATGTGTAGTCCACCTCATTGTTAACATTAGCAACCCGGGCTGCAACCCGCTTAAGCTCAGCAATAAAACTACTACTTCCGATCCAAAAACAAGTTCCCACTTTCCTTAATTAGATGACCCCTGAAATGCACGGAAACGGCTGGGGTGGGAGTTTCCCCGTATTGGAAACATTCGAACGTTTCCGAGCGTAGGAAACGCCAAAAACGTGTATCCTGGGCTGTTTCTTAAGTTTGGGAAGTTTGGAAACGCGTTTCCAAACTTAAAACAGAGTTCCGATAAAATATAGGGCCGGCTTTCAAACCTTTCAAACAGAAGTCAAACCTTTCATCTTCGGCTCTTCGCTCTTCAACCATACGCATAGCAGTCATCATTTCGTCGCAGGCTTCAGCAGAGTTCGCCGGCTTCTCCGGAGGTCATCCCCTGCAGCGGTCATCGTTCCTTCGTTCGCCGGCTTCTCCAGAGCACAGGTCATCGTTCAGGTATTTCAGAGATTCACCGGCTTGTATATTTTAATTCTACAGGTCTTCGTTCCTTCGTTTTTGTATATTTCAGAGCACAGGTCATCGTTCCTTCGTTTTTAAATAATTCAATTAATTTTTAATATTTTATTGTATATTGTATAATTTAGATTATTTTTAATTCTCTAGTGATGGAGGACAGTGTTTGTACATATATGTGTGTGTAAATATATATATATATATATATATATACATATAAAAAAATTCACAAATATATATATAATATTTATAAAATTACCCCTATATTTTAATATTTGCACGTTTCCCCCGCGTTTCGTGTCCTGTATTTTTGGGAAATGGTGTTTCCGACGTTTCCCGTTTCCCGTTTCCGTGCTACTTAGGATGACCCTAAATGAAGTTCCCATTAAAAGAAAAATTTTAATGGGGAAATGTCATTGGTATCCTTTTGAATTGAAATAAAGTTAGGGTATACATTGAAAGTCCAAAAAAATCATCTTGCATAAATATGTGTAGGTCAAACCTGAAATGTGTTTTTGGGACAGATGGAGTTTTTACCTATGTGTAAAAGTTTCACTATATTAAAATATTAAATTATATGAATGAATTGGTTTTTCAACCCACCCTAAAATTTAAACTTATTTGAATGAATTATATACCAAGACTTACCAAATAATGAGCCATCTGGGCTCCAAGTTATGCAATTAACAGAGACAACAGGATCTTTAACCAAGGCTGTCTGAATTTAGAGAAGAAAATTCAACAAAAATAGATCTGAATTCATTTGAGTATTTGCATAAATGTTAATCACTATTAATACTAGATTTAAAAATAAAAAACCTGCAAGGGATTTGAACATGCACTCAAATCCCAGACCTTGAAGTTTCTCAAAACCAATCTCTCCCGTGAACCAACTTCCCATAATGCTATGTCTCCAACATTGGTTCCAACTGATGCACAAAACACAGTATATAAGTTTAACACAAATTCATAACACCAAGATACTAATAATGTATTTTATACCTTTTATAGTTTTGCTACTTTTAGTAGGAACTCTAATATAACTTGGACTACTTATTTATTATATATATGATACTCAGGGCTACCAGTCAGTAAGCTTTTCCATTATTCTCACATGGTATCAAGAGCTCTAGGTTTTAGCCACAATTAAAAAAAAATCAATTCCAATGAACCCTAACACGGCCGCCGCCAGCGCCTTCTCCTCCACGGTGGCTATGGCGCCTCCGGGCCAGTGCGCGGCCTCTTCGTCACCATCTAGCTCATCATCGCAGATCACAGCCTCCTTGTCAGTGCCTTTGAGTTCACCGGGCTTTACTGCCGGAGCATCAACGTCTTGGTCACCGCCTATATTCACATGGACGCCGACGTTGCCATCGGAAACCGCCGCCGCAACTTCAGTCAACACCTTTATTTCCGATCATCTCACGCACCAAGTCGGCCAGGAACAGTTCGCTGGGCCCACACTCTCTGGCTCACCCAGCCTGTTGCCGTCATCCTCGGTCAAAACTATTGGCCATCGTGCAGCACCGGCTACGCCCATCCCGATGTCTTTTGCTGCCATGGCTCAATCAATGGGGTTTGGGACTCCATCCATCACTAATATTGTCACCACCAATGTAGTTGTTGTTGAAGACTACTTGACCTGGCGTACGCTGTTTGAATCCTTTTTGGTCTCTCATGGCCTTTTGGGCATCGTAAATGGTACACTTCCGGCTCCTTCTCTATATGTTTATGATGTTTACCATACCCAAACCATGAACTCTGAATATTATCACTGGCTAAAATTGGATCAAACTGTTTGTTCCTGTATTTTTGCTACCCTTTCCCAGAATATTTTACTTGAGGTTCATGCTTTGAAAAATCATGCTGCTATGGAATTAAAACGTATGATGTCCCACATTAGAAAGAAGGATAATCATTTTATGGAAGATTATTTACTTCAGATCCAGGTCATTGTTGATGCTCTTGCAGCCATAAATTCTCCAATCTCTCCTACTGACCTTCTTCAACATACCAATTTGGGATTAGGTCCAGAATATGAGTCTCTGGTTACTACTCTTACCCTTTCCCAAATGTCTCACGTTTGACTCTTTACGTAGAAAGTTGGTCCATCAAGCACAGATATTGTTATTTTCCCGAAGTCAGGATTCCTCTGCTGGGGCTACAGCCGTTGCCGCACCGTCTACCATCAGAGGAGAAGTGACGGACCCTCGACCTGCTGCCCCACACCTGCAACAGTTCAGCCAGCGAGGCAGGGGACGACGCGTCCAGCTAGGGTGTGGCGGCCGCTAGTTATTATTTATATTATTATATTTCAACAGTTTTCTTTTACACAATTGAAACTACCAGAGATTTTATTTCAAGACATCATTCTACACAAAACTGCTTTCAAGAGCAATAAATTTTAGTGTGGAGTCCATGTTTCAATATACGACTGTTTCTAAGAGCTTTAAGTTCATTTAAGAAATTAAGAGTATACATTTAGATGTGTTCCTATAATAGTAGAGTATTAAGCTAGGACTTCCAAATTTATATTAATATTACTTGGGTTCATATTCTATTTTATATTTTTTATTCGCTTACTGCTGGTGTTCTAAAAATGAAGGATCAATATAGAATTTTTATTTCTTCATCACAGTTACAATATTGCTATTATTATTAGATTGAGATCATAAACACAATACATACTAAAATTTAGAAGTCAGATAAATATTTGGAAGGTACAAACCTAGAAGCAATGTCTGTTGAACGGGATGAAAATCCATGCTCATAGGAGATGAGCCTTGGTTAAGTGTTCTCACTACGGTCTTCGGGAGATCATCATGTGCACTGCTGTGACCCCCTTGGCTGCTGCTATGACCGTGCCCCGGGAACACCGGCATAACATTTACGGGAAGGTTAACCTAAGACCATAATAACTGAACTCAGAACACATTGACTATTTAAATAAATTAAATACGTTAAGTCTCTTTGGAACTAGGAAAATGCTCAATGAAGAGAAGATGAAGGAATTTTAGAATAATAGAAAATGTGGAGGGAATTTAAAAAATTGTCAGTCGGTATATAAATTTTAGATATTGCTAAAACCCATATGTGTGTATGTATTACATATAATATATATATATATACTGCTATTGAAATAAGAATAAGAAATCTAAATATATGTAAAAATTAATAAAGTTTAACCGAATTTGATATCTTTCTTTCGAAGGTAAAGCAAGGCACTCGCGCACTAAAACCCTATTTTCCCTGTTAGCATTCCCTTCATTCTTCTAACATCTTCTGAGTTCCAAACATAGCCTAAGAAATTAGAGTTGAATGATATAACGATGGGAGATCAATCTACCTCGTCACTAATTCCCAAGGACCTTGTTCTTTTACTGACATGATCAGAATCCCCCCCAGATGGATAATCAACCGGATTTGTTGATGGGGTCCTTGGATGCTTGAGAGCAGCTGTGTGTTAATCAATGAAACACTCACTTTTCAAAAGATCATATCACGCAAAAGCATAGATATTTCAATTTTAACTTCATGCTATATTTGTCTCTCCACTAAGCCATGATTCAATAAATTATTAGAGTTAAACACATTCATCCTACCAGATAAGGGTTTGTCCACTAAACTGAAAAATAGAACCACAATCCTTTGCCAAATGTACATCAAAACAATAATAGTTGGCATATACTAAAGTAGAATAACTCCTAAAGTTACTGAATTACTTATTTACAATTTTGCTTCTCTCATATTGAAAGTCTCAACAAAAATTTAATGATACAAATACCCACCCACTCAGCCCTGAAAAAGAGATGTCCTGTTTCATTAAACAAAACTACTTTTTGTACTACATATAATAATTTACCAAAAAAGTGAAGGTCGTGAACCAACTAAAAAATGTAAGTTTGATTATAAAAGCTTGTACCTTATTGAAAAATATATTGGCCAAGTTGGACTTATTAATTGATGGATAGAGTATAAGAAGGTTCATTCATTCATCATCATTACCCCAGTGCCGCAAAGGCTCCCACCTACAGTGGGGTAAGGGGGCGTCGGATGTACGCAGTTTTACCCCTGTACTAAAGCATAGAGAGGATAGAGTATAAGAAGGTGATGAGAAAAATTAATGGCACCTGGAATGGATGAAGCGGTGAGGCCCATAGGTCCAGCAGAGCCCATGGGTCCCCCAGAAACAGCTGGATGATTCACCGTGGGTGGATTGGACATCCAACCAGCAAGTGGAGCAGGAACGGGTGTGGGTGCAGGCGGGAAAGGCTGATTGTTATAAGGGGAGCAAAATAAAGTAAGCGTTGGATGGAAGTTTGGGTTTCATTATGTTAAATCACATAATTAAATGAGATGGTAGCATTAGAGAGTCTAACCCCATGAGCACCAAGAGGCGGGAAGCCTCCAGGTTTTGGTACAGGTCCAAGTAAATGGTTGTTTGCAGGTGACGGGGCATGGGAGCCATTTGGTTGTCCACAAGCGTGATCAACAAAAAGTGTCTTTATATCAGGATTTGACCGCGGGTTTTTGCATAGTTGGTGCTGCCAATTTAAACTGCATTTTTGTGAACATTGTCAGATAGAACTGAAATTATCATCCTGAGGCTCTGTTTGTTTCTATGAAGGGAAAACAGCTTACAAAATTTCATGTATTTGGCACTGGGAAAAACTTTCTTATTTTCCATGATTCTGAAAACTTTGTGGGAAATGACTTCCTCTTTTCGGAAGAGGAAATCACTTTCTTGATGCTATTTGACTCTTTCCTGTTTGTGTGTTAACCATAATGTTAAAAATGGAATAACTTATTATCTAAAATGACATTTTTCGCGACAATCTGATCAGATCCTGAATATATTCATATGCTACATTTTGAAGAACATACATATTTGTATCATTTAAATATACAATTATATGTTTCTGCGTATTAAACATTATATAACGGAATAACTTATTTTTTATAAAAACATTTTCCATGACAGCTTGTTTTAGACAAACAAAGTGTGAGTAGCTTAGAATATATGGTACTTAGTACATTCTCTTTTCTTCTGCATCATTTTGAAGCAAATGAATTCCCATATTGTCATTTGAAAGCAAAAAAAAATGCCAGTTTTACATCCAGCTCATAAAAGTATAGTCTGAAAGTAAAAATAAGCCATATGGACTTGACCTTTACTGCATACATTCAATTTGTTTTGGCATTTTATAAAAATGTTTGTCAGATTAAGAGAAGCTTCAAAGGAAGCAAAAGGTCTCACCTCTGGTTGATGAGGGTTCGCAATCTAGAATTTTTAAGGCCAGGAAACTGCAATTTGTCACGGAACAAAGGGTTTGCTTCAATGAGTTTCTTGAGTTCAACCAACATTATCGCTCTGGCAGACTTCGTGTCTCCATATTTTGACAATTGTTCATTCTCCCTAACCAAAATGGATAGAAATTGTTAAACAACTTATAACCATACAACACAGTCGGTCAGAAATGTCACAAAATCCCCCACCCTTGGAGCATGTACTGAAGTGTGTGTGCTGCTGTGCTCAACAATAACAAGGTGAGACCACATCAAAAGATGTAAAAATGAATCTAGAACCATCCCCTAGGGGCCGTTAGGAAAGGGGTATTTGGCTTAAATAATTGAATTTTCTGAAAGGAACAAAGTTTAGTAGTTTGAGTGATATGCTTTTCCATGGATTGGATGAGAGTATGGCTTTCTAGAGAGCAAAGTGGAGGGCAGATATTCATGTGGAAGATTGATCTCAGTTCATCTTTTTTAACCTTTTATCTTCTTCATCTTTCTTGTATTCTTTACCCTTTTATTCTTTTTGTCTTTATCTTATATTTATCTTTATCTTATATTTATTGTTATCTTATCTTTTTTATCATACCTTATCTTTTTATCTTTCTTATCTTTTTTTCTTTTTGGCTCCGATATCATGTATCGATTCATGTTAGCCAACTCCAAAATCTTTTGGGTCTAAGGCTTGGATGTTGTGGTTGTGGTTGAACAAAGTTTGGTGCTTTGGTAACCCCATTTTAGCCAAATAAGTATGTTCTCTTGCTTGTCCAACTGATACACATAACCAATTAACCAGCAAAATAAGGCTACTAAATGGAGCCTTACACAATCATCTGACAACAAGGTACCTGAAATTCTCCAGCGTCAATAGGTGGGTTATCTCCTTAAACAGCTCTTCATTAAAAGATGCAAAAACTTTAAGATCCTTTGTAAGAATTTCAACTGCCTTGGGCCGATCACGCCTATGTATTACAAATTCACATGATATTACAGTCAACCCATTTAAAAAATAACTTTTATATCAGCATACTGTAAAGCATTAAAAATGAGAAATGATCTAAAATCAAACAAAACTTACTTGTCCAATGCTTCAAGATACTTCTGCTTTCTTATCTCAAAGAAGATTTTCATTGAGTACCGATTATCATCTACTTTGGTAAAACCTGAAAGGTACTTCTCAACCTCGTCCCAATTTCCACTGTGCACTTCATCCTCAAAATACTTCATGTTAAAGAAAAAACCAGACTCTTGTTCAAGCCTATTATTTCAAAATCCCAAACTTAACAATGTTAGGCTAGTATAAAAATACCAACTATTAAAAAAAATTATAATACTTTCAAAAAAAACTTATACTTGTGGACAGTTTCTTTAAATTTCTCCTCATCTAGAAACTGTAAGATCAAGAACACAAGTTCTCTGCTGAGAGATGACATTATAGCATATGTTTCCAGATCTACAAATCAAAAGTCCAAAGGAATTTTATCAATTAATTGATAATGATATACAAGGAAAGGAGATAACTTTATTTATTGAATCATTATTATACTATGAAAACAGTTAATTATGGCTAAAAGCACCATAAAACTGTACTGTACCAAAATAGAACTAATCCTTCGATGAGAGAGAAAACAGAGAGGGAGTCAAACCCAGGTAGATTTGGGATAGTTGAAGTGAACTTAGAATCTCCAATCTAATCTAACAAGAAGAAAGATCACTCCTTTCCATTCAATGCCCTCTATTCCAATGCCCATGTAGAGCATTCAGAGACATGAAAGCAGCTTTAAATCAATCGGAATCAAATGTGCAGGAAAAAAGGGGAAATAATAAATAAAATTTAGAGAGAGAAGCCTAAAAGGCAAGTATCTGATATACCAGCCTGAGAGAGACACGGAAATAAAAGCGAAGCAGAAATCAGTAAATAACAAAATAAGAATAATTAAATTATGCCAAATGCACACACATAGATGGGGTCTGTTTGGTTGGTGGTATAGGCTTACCCCCAGAGAAAACGGAGAGATCGAAGAAGTAGATAGGGAAGAATAGGATCAACCCCCTGAATCTCTTGATAATGCAGAGACGCCGGAGCTCAAGACAGAGCTCTGCTCTCCCCCTCTTGCCTACAATGCTCAACTTTCTCTCTCTAATCTATACTCAGGACAGTGTTTTGTAGGGAACTACTTAGTGATTTTAAATGAAAATGAAATGGCGAGTCATAGATATAGATAAGTAGATTGGCTTATCACATATACGACGTTTGGCTTATCGATAAGAGTCCTCTCGTACGGCTTCTCAGTAATTTGGCTTGGGCCCACTAAGCCGGCTCCGGGTTACCGGCTCGTACCCTGGCGCTAACCAGCTATGTGATCCGGCCCATCACATAAACCTAATTGAGATTGACATACAAAACCTACTCCCCTTTATAAGGGTGTTTATATGTTTATATATAAATGTTTAAAATTGTACTCCCCCGTCCCGAATTGAATTGTAAATTTTGACTGGCGCAAGGATTAAAAATGACAATAAATGATGCTTGCTTTTTACACTTTTGTCCATCTTTCTAAAAGTAGATGTCTTTAAGTTAATGGGGAAAAAGCAAAAGTAAGGGTAAATTTGTCATTTTATTATTATTTACATATCTAAAATATAAAGTCAAAAACCATTTTGGGACAACCAAAAAAGAAAATTTTGCAAACCAAATTGGGACGGAGGGAGTATGTTTTTGTTTTCAAAAAATTAAAAGAAAGAATGACCTAAGAATTTATTTCTAGAGTTCTAATAGACAAAAATAAGATCAATTTCAACTAGGACAAAAAAGTGATAAAAACTAGGAAAAATTTATCTCTATTTGGTCACTCTCTTTCACTTCTCCTGAGCCGCACACACTCTCGTAGCTCGTCTTCTTCACCACTGAAGTCACCCCACATCGCAACCACCCATGGGCGTGCAATGAGCGGACTTGGTGATGGCGAGAAGATCGACGATCGAAGATCGACGATCGAAGATCGACGATCGAAGATCGACGATCGAAGATCGACGATCGAAGATCGACGATCGAAGATCGGCGATCGATAGTTTAGGGAATAGGGGTGGTGGAGCAGCAGTTGTGGGGCGAGTAGGAAAACAGTAAGTGAGGAGCTGGGGATGGGTTGAGAAAGGGCTGGATCAATTATTCTAAAACTCACTAGGCGCTAGTCGGGCGGTTGAGGGACGCCTAGATGGCGCCCGACTAGACCGATTCTACAATTAGGATCGACTAGGCTGATTTTTAGAACATTGGTTGGATGTAATGGGCTCGTAGCGACGGCGCTAGGGTGACTTACAGGAGGAGGTGTGGCGGCGGGCAGATGTGGCGTGGTCATGGTTTTAAAAGGCGTTTAGCCTTTATGCATCTGAGGTGCAAAGGCGCAAGTGCGTACGATAACCGCCTGAAAGGCTTAAGTCTTACCTTCCTCTAACAAGGCTTACGTCTTTGTTTCTCTGAGGCATCGAAGCAGGCTCTGGGCTTTGGGCATATACGAGGCGGTTGCCTCAAATTTTACGCATATTGAGCTTATTTTTTAAATTATTGGAGGCCTCGTTTTTTCATCCTAAAATACAAAATAAATGTGTCACTTGCATGCCTTCCTTTGCCACAACCCGTGGACATTCTTCTACGATACCAACAAACGAGAAACATCGTCTGATTGAAGAAGAGTTGCTCAGCCAACTGTCTAGGTTGAGCTCCCCTGCTTCATACGTTCATCCACATAAGTACTCCGTATAAAATATCCCACCGCCCAAGGTCCTCCCTTTCTCGCTTTTTATTTAATTGTTTAGTTTTTTAAAAGCTCTGATTTGAACTATTTAAAGTTACTAAGTAGTATTAAATTTCATCCAGCCTTTCTAGTTTTTGTCTGTTGATCATTTATGTTTATTGTTTAAGTTGTTTATTTAAATTTTTAGTTATTTAAAAGTTCTATTTTGAACTTTTTCAAGATATTAAATGGTATTAATTTTTCTCCAACCCGTCTAATAGTTCTTTTTTTCATTTATGTTTATTGTTTGTTTTTTATTTAACTTTTTAGTTTTTAAAATTTCTGTTTTGAACTATCTAAAGCTATTAAATGTTATTAACTTCTTTCAGTCTTTCTAATCTTTTTCTGTTTATCATTTATGTTTATTGTTTAAGTTTTTTATTTAAGTTTTTAGTTTTTTTAAAGTTCTGTTTTGAACAATTTATGAGCCTACCATTTAAAAACTTTGAAGTTATCATGCACAACTATCATTTACCATTTTACCTTACTGATAGAGCATTGGTTTACAGAGAAGTGAGAGCTAGAGAGAGAGTGCAACTAATATTACTCAACCCTTGCAATTACCCCCAAAGGGGGTATTTATAGGGAAAATATGGGCTGGGCACCCAAACCTTGGGCTTGGGAGGCCCATTACAATATAAGGTCTCTATTGGGCTGGATACAATCAATATTTGGAGTAAGTATGAAATCTAGTTATGTGATTTCTCTTTGGCCGACGAAGGGCCAGGACGACGGTTTCATCATCTGTTGCCATGGCATAGGGGTCGTCCCCCACAATGGACCTATTCCTCCACTTCTTCCGGGTGTCACCCTACAGGCGTGCTGGTTACCTCGGCCTGACCGCTCACCCCTGGAGGGTTCTCTTCTCCAACAATGGTCCCAACCCGGATGGCTGGGAGGAGAGATTCTTCTTTGCTGGAGTGGGTTCCCTAATCCCCTTTTTAGATCGGTGGAAATCGTATCCCATCAAATTCGACTCCCCAACCTTGACAGATGAAGAGCTAGAGTACGCCAGTCGTATTGTCGGCCTTGGTCCCCAGAATTTGCGACTGCTTGTGGTTGATTGCCTCATGGTGAAAGCCAGGTTAGGTACGTCCCATCATAGCTCGGGGTTTGGGGCTTTATATTTTGTATGATTCTAACTGTGTTTCCCCTCTTGCAGGTGTTTACACTTATCTTCCTGCTACGGGTCGCAGGCAATATTTCCCGAGGTCCCGGTCTGCATGAAAAGGGGAATGAAAAGGTGGTCGTCGCAGAGGGGTGACTGGTGACCCGCTCTGGAGCCCAGTTGCACCTTGAGGCTGAGCGTCCGCTCAAGAGGTCACATAACGAGGATGCCTCTATGGCCATAGTTCTGCTGGATGCGTTGGATGATGAGGCCACCATCCCTTCTAGGCCAGATGCAACTAGTCTTCCTTCCTCATCGGAGCTCAACCATCTTACCTTAGGGCTCATCAAATTTTCCAGGGTTGGGCCCCATACTTAGTCTAGAATGTTGTTCGGTCAGACAACTTCCTCCATCTTGTGTACCCTCGGGCTAAAGGTGCCCTCTGATTTTGCTGCATACGAGGAGCCCGAGGGTCTACTCGAGAGTGGCCCTAGTGAGCTGAACAAGGCCACCATATATTTCAACAAGGCCAGAGGAGCCTTCAAGCAACTGGGTCGTGCCATGGCCATGCTGAAGGCGGAGGCTGACTGTAACACCCCTAAATTTCCCGCCCAAAACATTGATATATTTAAAAGAAGTACTTTATTCATTCATCAAAGAGTTAAAGAAATACAGCGGAAGTCTAAAATAGGGAAATGGGTATTACCGCCACATTCGGTCATCTCTTAACCGAATGCACAGGCAACTCAAAGTAAAACAACAAAAACTAATGTAATAATAAGTAAATGTTTGTTTCATGACTAGATTTAACTAAGGCATCTTCTAATTCGCACTCAAGCTCGAGCAATCCATCAATCCACATAGGTATCCAACTCATCACCTGACAAAATTTAAGGGAGAAGAGAGAGACAAGAAAAATAACAAAAATTAGCTTTAGAGCTAAGTAAGTACTACCCAACCCCGTAAAATAACCAGGTTTGACAAAAATAGATTTTTATATAGTATCATATAAAAATGACGCACTCCACCAAAAATACTTTTCTCCTTGATTTTTCTTAAAGTCGCTTCTTTGCTAAAATCTTAAACTTTTCTTCGAAAATCTCTTAGTATCTCTTCTCGTTAAACTTCTTAAGAAAATCACTTCTTCTCTAACTTCCTAGTAATTTAGAAGGGCGGTGCTCAACCTTTCGGCTGAGCCCGGTGGACCGTGGTTACGGACGGCCACCCCGAACAAATGCCGGTACCACAACTGCTCTTGCGGAAACGAAACGACTACCTTAAGTGTGCACACCCCCTAAAAGGGATTCCAAGCCCTCCGAGTAGTAAGTCATCCTGAGTGGTCGGAACCCAACCACCCCAATTCTAAAATTTTTGAATGATTAGGGACTACTACAATAACTTCTTCTTAAAAGGGATCATAGATCCAAATCTTACTTAAAAGGGATCATAGATCCAAATCTTACTTAAAAGGGATCATAGATCCAAATCTCACTTGAAATTTAAATTGTACTTCTCAGTAGTAGTAGCTCTAATCACCCTCCACATTTATTCGGATGTGGAAAAACCGACACCTCGGATTACTCCCGAGATGCTCACTTCTTATGAAAATGTAAATTTTATCTTCAATTAAATAATACTTCAAAAATACTTCTTAATTTCTCTAAAAAGTCTCGAAGGTATTTAAAAATATTTAATACCCCAAAAGTACTTGATTTATATTTCTTAACTACCATATATATAATATCTCCTCAAAATCACATACGCAAAATTTACAATTCACACTTAATCACATAATGTATAATAAGCATATAATACGAGGAAACAATTTTGGATTGACAGAGAAACTTACCTTAAGTCCTGTTGCTCCTAGTTATCCTCCTCTAATCCGGTCTCTAGATAATCACCTTTTTAATTAAATATGATAAAATTAGTCACTTATTCTATTTGTAATTACTTTACCCGATTTTCTC